ATGGGAGGGAAATGGGGAAAAAAAGGGAATTTTTGGGAAATAATGAGGATTTTGGAAAAAAAAAGAGGGATTTTGGGGGGGAAAGTGGGAATTAAAAAAAATAAAGGGGAGATTTGGGGGAATAAAAGGGGATTTGGGAGTGCTGAGGATGGCGCTGCTGTGGGTTGGGAAATGTGAGGAAAAATGAGGAAAAATGGGGGGAAAATGGGGAAAAAGGGAATTTTTGGGAATAATGAGGATTTTGGGAGGGTAGAGAAAGATTTGGGGGGAAAAGTGGGAATTTGAGGGAAAAAAAGGGAGATTTGGGGGAATAAAAGGGGATTTGGGAGGGCTGAGGGTGGTGCTGCTGTGGGTTGGGAAATGGGAAGAAAAATGAGGGAAAATGGGAGGGAAATGGGGAAAAAAAGGGAATTTTTAGGAATAATGAGGATTTTGGGAGGGTAAAGAGGGATTTTGGGGGGGAAAGTGGGAATTTGGGGGAATAAATGGGAGATTTGGGGGAATAAAAGGGGATTTGGGGGTGCTGAGGATACTGCTGCTGTGGGTTGGGAAATGGGAGGGAAAATGGGGGAAAAATTGGGAAAAATGGGGAAAAACTAGGAATTTTTGGGAATTACGAAGATTTTGGGAGGGTAAAGAGAGATTTGGGGAGGAAAAATGGGAATTTGGGGGACAAAAAGGAAATTTGGGGGAATAAAAGGGGATTTGGGAGTGCTGAGGATGGTGCTGCTGTGGGTTGGGAAATGTGAGCAAAAATGAGGAAAAATGGGGGGAAATGGGGAAAAAAGGGAATTTTTGGGAAATAATGAGGATTTTGGGAGGGTAAAGAGGGATTTGGGGGGAAAGTGGAAAATTTTGGGGAGAAAAATGTGAATTTGGGGGAATAAAAGTGGAGTTGGGAGTGGAGAGGATGCTGCTGCTGTGGGTTGGAAAACCTGGGGAAAACTGAGGGGAAATGGGGGAAAATGGGGAGGAAAAAAATCCCATTTTTTTCCCCTATGAAAATCCCAATTTTCTCCTATAAAAATCCCATTTCCTCCCCAATTTTCCCCTATAAAAATCCCATTTTTCCCTTCATTTTCCCCTATAAAAATCCCATTTTACCCCCAATTTTTCCCTATAAAAATCCCATTTTTTCCCTATAAAAATCCTATTTTTCCCCTATAAAAATCCCACTTTTCCCCCACTTTTTCCCTATAAAAATCCCATTTTCCCCCCAATTTTCCCCTATAAAAATCCCATTTTTCCCCTAAAAAAATCCCATTTCCCCCCATTTTTCCCCTATAAAAATCCCATTTCCCCCCCATAAAAATCCCATTTCCCCCCCAATTTTCCCCT